AAGGTGGTTCTGACAAGTGTCGTCGGCATCTTCCCCCGAAAGCTTTTTCCCAAATAATACCAGCAGCCATTTCATTTCCACCAAAGTAGATACATACACACATACATGCACGACACACAAACACACATACACACACGCACACCAAACAAAAAAATAAAATAAAATAAAAAAATGGCAGAAATGGAGAAAGAAGTGAGACCTCCAGAAAATAAAAGAAGCAGGAAGCTGGCTCATCCCGTAAAAAGGGAAATCAATGAAGAGATGAAGGTACATCTCTGTACTCCCCTTTTATTATCACTTATTTCAAGCGAGAAGGGAAGAAAAAGGGAAGAGGGGTAGCATTGAGTCACACGAAGAACGAGCGCCCTCTACTATGAGGCAGAAGAACTGTGTGCCTCACCTACCTTGGGACTTTTTAGGCTTTTAACACTCACTTAACTCTGCTCGAGCGATCATAAAATGCCTTAGAAGTCAGACTAGACTAGATGAGGCACACAATTCTCCTGCCTCATAGTAGAGGGCACTTTTTAGAGGCTTTTTTAAACAGTTAGGCAGTTATTCAGGGTAAGGCAGCAGCTTGCTAGCCTCACTTCAGCACTCGCCTTTTTCCTTTTACATTTTTTTCCCTTTTCATGATGACTGTGGCCTCCCCTGCTTCCCATGACTGTGCGTCACTGCTCTGATGATATTATCTAGTTGGACAATAAAATGTCTGCAAGTGAACAATCAAGCTCAGAGACCAAGGACTCTATTGTTGAATATACTGCTATTCACAGATTGTATTTTTAATAATCTGTACTTTTGTCCAGTGTTTTAGTCTTATTTGCTCAAGCTTTACCAAATACCACACTTGAGGAGCTGAAAACATTGTCAGCAAATGTTAAAGCTATTCACCAGAAATGTGTTGATAATCAATATTCAAGCCCAGAATGTACAAAGCCTTTGGTAAGTATTTGGAAGCTAAATTGGATACTACAGACATATTAATTAACTAAATACTTAAAATTCTGTTTAGCTCCTTGTTGTCTACACACTTTTAAGAGTAAAATTGTTGTCTACATACTTTTAAGAGTAAAATTAGTGCATTAACCCTATCCATCTTCTATCCATCCTAAGAAAACAATTTCTCTACGAATCAAAATAATTAACATTTTTTTGTAAAAAGATTTTTTTTTACTTTTCCTTTCACATTCATTCTTAGATATACATTCTTATAATTGTTATTTAACATACGTAAATTCATATTATTTTTCTGCCTGTATATTTACATTTTGATATTTTCTTATTTCCCCTCCCCCTATTTAAGTCATGTGTCATCTGAGATTCTTATTTCATGTTTTGTTCCTTTTTCTTTCTATTTATATCTTTTTTCAAGTCACTCATAAAATCATCCCTATGTCCTGAAGTACACTGATTCCTCCTTTTACTTTATTCTCAATGACAGCTTATTCATTTCTGCACAGACACAGTCTTAATATCTTCGTTATTACCTCCCCTTCCAATCGGATTTTGTCTGCTTTCCAATTTGGTGCAAATACAATTCTAGCTGCTGTTATTATTTGTGCAATGAAATATGAATCTTCCTTATTGTATTTCTCTGGTAGAATACCCAATAAAAATATCTCTGGCTTAAACTCCATTGGTTTATTTATCATTTTCTCTAACCATGTTTGTATTTTAACCCAATAACTTTTTTGCATCCCTACACATCCACCAAATATAATAATACATTCCTGGCAATTGGTGACATTTCAAACTTTTAACTGATTTATCCTTAAACATTTTTGCTAATTTTTCAGGTGTCATGTGCTATCTATAAAACATTTTATATAAATTCTCTTTATATGTCATTGCCATTGTTACATTATAATTCCTTTTCCATAGTTGTTGCCATTTTTCTAGTTCTATTGTGTATCCAAAGTTTTTTTTCCAAATGTTATCATTGTTTCTTTAACTGCTTCTTCTAGGTATATTCTAAGTAGATAACTATACAATTTTTTAATCATTTTTTTCATCTATTCCCATGAGTATCCTAATTCTGAGTTTTCCATATTAAAACCACACTCTTTAACACCTTTCTCATATCTTGTTTGTATTTGCACTTGTTTAAACCATCCTATATCAATCCTTTGTTCTTCTAATTCTTTCTTCTGTTTTAGTTCTCCCTGCACTGTTAATATATCTTTGAATCTAATTACCTTTTCATACTAGTAGTATTCCCACGTGTCAAAGCCTCTACCAAGGAGAGCCACATTGGTACTTCCATATAGTGCTTTTCTTTTATTTTTTCCCATACTGCGTATAAACCATTTCTTACATAGTGTCTCTGAAAATTACCATGTATTCTATTTTTCCCATACCACAAAAATGTGTGCCAAAAATGTATATTGTGTCCCTCCAAGGATAGTAACCTTGCATTTCTTAGTAATAGCCATTATTTTACCCACATTAGAGTTGCTGCTTGATAGTATAATTCCCAATTTGGTTCACCATATCCACCTCTAATCCAAGAATCTTGTAGCATTCTTCTATTTATTCTCCCTTTCTTTCCTTGCCAAATATATATTCCTATTGTTTTATTTAGTTCTTTGAAGTACTTTTTTCCGGTTTTATTGGTATTGTTTGAAATAAAAATAATATTCTTGGTAATATATTAATCTTAATTACCACTATTCTACCCATTATTGATAGTTGTAAGTTTTTCCATTTCTCTATATTCATTTCAATTTGATTTCTTAGTTTATAATAATTATCTTCCTTAATAGTTACACATTTCGAGGTCAAATTCCCAAATATTTCACTTTTTTACCATTTGAATATCTAATTTGTCCATTATTTCTCTTTTCTGTTTTTCTGTTATATTTTTCATTAAAATTTTTGTTTTATCCTTATTAATTTTTAATCCTGCCATTCCTCCATACTCTTCTATTTGTTCTAGTAGTTTTGGACCTGTTTCTATTGGATCTTCAATAATATGTACTAAGTCATCTGCAAATGCTTGCAATTTATATTTTTCCTTTTTAACTTTCATTCATTGTCTTATCGTTCTGTTCAAAACTTCTAGTGTCAATATGAATAATAGTGGAGATAGCGGGCACCCTTGCCTGGTCCCTTTTCTAATCAGCACTTTTTCTGCCATATCTCCATTTACCATCACTTTAGTTCTTTGTAAATAGTTTTAACCATATTTATAAATCCCTCCCCAAAATCCATCATTTGCAGTTGCATTATCATGAATTGCCAATTTATATTATCAAAAGTTTTCTGTGCATCCAAAAATAACAATGCCTTTTGTTTCCGAGGGTGTACTTCATAATATTCTAATACGTTCAATATAATTCACATATTATCTCTAATTTTATCTCTTGGTTAAAAAACCATTTTGATCTAAGTGTAACAATGTTTTAAGTCTTTCCGCTATTATCAATGCAAAGATTTTATAATCTACTTTTAATAAAGAAATTGGTCTATAATTCTTTATTTGCTGCAAGTCATTCTTCTTTTGGGATAAGAGTTATATAGGCCTCCAACCAAGAATCCAGTATTTTTGCCTCCATTGAATACTTCTAGCATGATGTTACTTAGCACATATTGTAATGTTTTATAAAATTCCACTGCTAAACCATGGGGACCTGGTCCCCCCCCCTCTTTTTTTAATCAGGAAAGTGGAAAAACAAAAGCGCCCAAGATAAATCCACAGCTAGTGTTTTGTCTTATGTAGCAGTTCTTATCATTAGTCTATTTATCAAACCATGTGTTCAATGTTATTTTTTCTTTCTGTTGCCACTAGATGGCACTGTTGATTCTTAAAGGACTAGTTAGGAAAGAAGAAAAATTTCAGAGCTCAATTTCTCCAAATATCAATATCAAAAATTTAAAAACTTTACTGACAATCAACTCTATCCAGACTGCTCTCTATTTCTTCAGACCATCCTCCCAAAATCTCACCCAGATGTTTCAAGCCACTTTCTTTCTCTCTTTTTGTGAAGCCGCCTTGACTTTTGACAACTCGCAATGGCTGTCTTCCTTCCCATCTGGGTTGAAAGCTATTGCAGATGTTCAAAGTGATTTGTGGTGCCCCCCTTCACTTCTGCCCGTGCTCTCATTCCTCATTTTCCCTCCAAGACAGTTTCAAGCTCGAATGAGCCCCCCAGAGTGTTAGGATATTGTAGCTCCTCCGGAGCCCTGAAGTTCGTTTGCATACTGTTGAGACACTGGCCCCTCTCCAAATCATTAACATTTCTGTCCTTCAAACTTTGAAACAAGTTTCACTATCTGCCTTGTCTTGCTGTGATACCCCCAACACTACTCATGAGTGCATTAAGCTACATTTTATTAAATTGGGTTATCAGACAAATTACAGATGGCGAGGTCATATGGTATTCCAAAATAAAACAAACATAACACAATGTGAGGACTCGATTATTATATCCAAAATTCATGACTTTGCCTCTTTTTACTGGAAATCCTATGCAAATGTAATCAATAAAGACAGAGCTACTTACTTTTTGGTAAGTATTTTGTACCCTTTAACTTTGAGACCCCCCCCCCCAATTTGGAAACTCTGAGATCTATACAAATTCAGCTTTCAAAATTTACCATATAGCATGGCCATTGCTGTCAATTCAAAGTATTCAAATGATCCGCATACCTGGAGATTTCAAATGTTAGAAATATTGCTTTATTTCAAGAAAATAGCAATAAATAGGTAAAAATAATGTTCATAGTATGAAATTCATTAATTTGGTTTGTTAGAATCTTTTTGAAAGATTCTAGTTTTGGGAAATTTTTGAGATACAAAGGTAATGAAGGATTCTTTATTGAAAAGAGAACTATAAGTTAGCACCTAGTTCTCTAGTAAAAGCTAGTTTAGCAAAATAGTTTAAAATGAAAGATGTATTTAAACAGAAAGAAATTTACAATAATAACTTTGACAATTTGAATTATCATGCATTTGTGTACACACAACTATATACATTATATATGAATCAGGGGTGGGTTTCAACCGGTATGGCCCAGTATGGCCATACCGGATGGTGAAATTTAGCATGCCTTCCTGTACCCATTGGTCAGGAGGCCCCATACCAGAATGCTCATTTGCTCTTTCTCTCGCCCCACCCATCCTCACCATGCTGCCAAAATGTTCTCAGAGGAAGAACCAGAAGAAGAAAAAACTGTTGAGTGGCTGGGGTGGGGTGGGGGGAGGATGTTGGGGAAGAGGGAAGAAGCAGAGGTGCTGCTAGAAGAGTGTGTGCATGTGCACAGGCTGTGGGTTTTAAAAAAAACATCTGAGCGAATCCAGGAAGAGGGAAGAGGCAGAGGGGCTTTAAGGTACTATAGGAACACACACTTCTAGCCCCTCTGCCTCTTCCCTTTTTCTGGATTCACTCAGATGTTTTTAAAACTCACACCATGTGAACAGCACACACACTTCCAGCCCCTCTACCTCTTCCCTCTTCCTGGATTCACTCAGATGTTTTTTAAAACTCACAGCCTGTGCAGACACAAGGTGTTTTTAAAACTCACACCATGTGAACAGCACACACACTTCCAGCCCTTCTGCCTCTTCCATCTTCCTGGATTCACTCGGACATTTTTAAAACGATGGGTAGAAAAACACTGCTTAACAAGTTTTTTTTAAAAAAAAAAACATTTCTTATCTTTTAATGTGTTCTTTGAAGGAAAAGTGTGTACAGATAAGCAAGCAGAAAACATCTGATCTCCCATATATGGATCTAGATTCTAATCTTATATGACCTGGTTTAAACAAGATTTAATGGAATATGGATATTATATTATGTTTTATTGTGAGCCGCCCGGAGTCTTTCGGGAGTGGGCGGCATACAAAGCCAATAAATCTAAACCTTATCTTAATTAACCATATATATATATATTATAAATTACTGCTAAATAATGCTTATTTAGGCAGCATATTTTTCTGTTCTCTAGGGTATAGTTTTCCTGGACCTGCTTTGCCATGATGAAGAGTTTTCCAAGAAATATGGAATTAATGACTGTTGTGCTAAGTCTGATCCAGAAAGGCATGCATGTGTTTTGTCCCATAAAATTTCAGCAATCGGAAGTGTTTCTCCCTTTGTTCGTCCTACTGCAGAAGAAGCTTGCCAAGCATATCACAATGACAGAAATGATGTTCTAGCCCAGTAAGTCAATTGGCTAAAGGTTGCAGCTTAAAATCAGTAGATCTTGTTTAAGTGAATGACACATACTGATTCTTAATTTCATTTATCAAACGCAAACAATATATGAACTTTATTGACTATTTCCAACAGGGTATTCTTGCTTACAGTTTCATTCAACTATCCCTTGCTTCTTCCAGGAAGGTTCATTCTATAACATTCCAACAGCACATATCTGTTGATGCAGTGCAGGGCAGTTAGATAATTTTGGAAATATTAATGATGGTAAGAAAGATGTGATGCTATTTTATTATGTCTATTACTTCAATAAAAGTGAGTATAAGAACATGTGCACAGACATATATACTAACTAAAATGAGAAGATTTAATCTTCATTTGCCCTATAGTAGCAGCAATTTAAAAGTACAAGGATGTTGCAGTGCAAACAAAATTCCGTCACCATATTATTTTAGGTTTATTGTTGTGTACGTCTACTATCCATTAGATAGCAAATCTGAATTTTTTTCCTCATTAGGTTATTGGAGAACAGCACTGTTGACTAACTTAAAAAAAACTTTCATCTGTCTATTTTTTTTTAATAATATAAACACACAGACACATGTTTATTTTTTATAGCCATCTTTATGAGATCTCCAGAAGAAATGCAAGAGCACCAGTTACTGTACTCTCTGCAGCAACTAAAAGCTTTGATAAAATATTGGAAACTTGCTGTAAAGAAGTTGAAAAAGATACCTGCATCGAAGGAAAGGTATTTTACTTTGCAACTTGAAATTTTATAGAAAACAATTGCAGTATTTACTCCTTCAAGATTCATCATAAGTTGTTTTATATCAAGTGAGGCCATTGCAACTCTAATAATTCTGTACAAATATAAACAATATAAATTATATTAAAGATATCATAAAGATATAAAATGTAACTGTAAAATGCCTTTTGCAATTGGGAATTCACCCAAGATGCAATTATTATTATTAATCTCTTTTCTTATATATTTTTTCCCAAGTTACTGGACAATAATGCAAAATATTTTCTTTTCTCTTTTGGTTTTGTAATAGGCAACAGTGGTCAGAAACAAAGCCAGGGAAATTATTGATGAACAGGAGAACACTTGTTTCAATCTGGAAAATTATGGAAAGGAAACTTTATATGAATTGTAAGTCCAGTTTATTTGAGATGGAGTGAGGAATGAAATCCTAGGAACATGCATCAAATATAACAATATTCTTAAAATAGGCTTTGGGACTGTCTTGAGCAGATTTTAATAGGTTTTAACTATTCTGTATCCAAAACAAATTTATTAGTCACCTTGGGGAAAGTCACAGTATTACTGCATAGCAAATAATTAAACAAGAAAAGATAGAAATCCAGGGCTTAACAGTCAGAGGAAAATGCTTAGAAAAGACCCACTCTAAACTAAACTGAAGGTTAAAAGGGGTGTGGTACTTTGAATTCAGACTTGCGAAATATTGTTGATGTAGCTATAAAATAAAGGAGAATTAATTCATCTTGTCATCTGTCCTATCTGGTTTATCTGGAAGAGTAGCAACCAGGCATATTCAGAAGAGACTCTGGAAGTGAAAACTGATAATAAGCAGACAATATCTTTTTTGATATTATTGACAAAATGTTCATTGATTCTGCCCTTGTCTATGAAATACCTCAAAGGGGAAAGCGGGTAGAAACAAATTAAGCTATTTGATTGATAAGAGAAAGTTCCAGGGATCATCTACAAAGACTGATGGGAATAAAGAGGCTTTTTATAATTCTTCAAGTTTTATTTATTCAAAGACACAAGACATTTCAAAATAGTGTGAATAATGACAAGGTTTGGCCTCAACAATTTTCTATTTTGACAATCTGGGAAAGACCTGTAAAGGTTTAATAAATTAATATGTTGCTATAACCAATTGTTTTAGATAGTGCAGACGAAAAGCACAAACTTACAAATACTATCTTTAAATAACAGAATCTTACAAATCTGAAAGTACTTCTCCCATCCTTTATTTATATTTTCATGGAAAGTATAGGGGATCCCTTCTGAAGTGATTCACACTCCCCTTTTTATTTATGTGGGCTGAGATGGTTGACTAGACTATTGTCTTCCAAATCCATTCCCATATACCATTATATCCATATACTTTTTGAAACAAACAAAAGATCTCATATGGGGAGCTTAAATTACAAGGAAGGAAGGAAGGAAGGAAGGAAGGAAGGAAGGAAGGAAGGAAGGAAGGAAGGAAGGAAGGAAGGCTGAGCCACCATTAGGAATTTTTATGTATAAATTCATATATACTTTTATACTACAATAGAAATAAAAGATCAGATCAGAAGCATAGTTATGGTTTCATTTAGAAAGGACTTCACTTAACAACCAATTGTTGGTCTCAATTATGGTTGCTAAACAATACCTATAGAGCAATATGCTTAGTATTAAAATAGCAAGTTGAATAACTAGAGATTGTTAAGCAGTTTTGCAAAATTCTTGAAAACTGATGGTGTGTGTGTGTGTGTGTGTGTGTGTGTGTGTGTGTGTATGTATGTATGTGTTGGCTGGTAAAAAGTGATGTGGAAATATTTTGAAAGATATGATTAAATACTTGGAATATTCATAAACATCAAAGCTACAGTGTTATCACCTGTGTTATCTTGTGGTCAAAAGTCAGGTGCTGGCAATTGGCATGTATATATGCTGGTTGCACTGTCCCAGAGCAACCAGCATATATACCTTTTGTGTCTTTCTGACAAGCAAAGTCGATGTAGAAGCCAGATTCACTTTACAATCATATTGCTAAGCTAATAACAGCAGAGATTCACTTTACAAGGAAGTTTGCGAAATAGGGCAAAACTGACTTATCAACTGTCTCGCTTAGGCAACAGAAATTTTGAGTTCAATTGTGGTCATAAGTTGAGGACTAGATGTATATGATATTGTGGAAATAATGTACATTGTAGACATTTAATGTTTGCTCTGAAATAACCCTAATCCCTTTTTTTTGCTTTTATTTCTAGAAAATTTATTCAGATAGCAGAAAAGTTCATAAATGCTAATCTAGAAATTTTAACCCATATTGCTAAAGAAGTTGTACACATCCATGAAGCAACTTGTAAGGGAGATTCATTGGGGACTTTACTTGACAGAGTAAGATGTATTTCTTTTATTTCTGTTGTTTCAAGCCTATGATATGGATATGAAAGTGCTAAGAAGGAGGCTCTTTTGTGGTCAATTGTTTGATTTTATGGAGCTGGGTTTTTTTTTTAAATTCAAAACATTCAAATGCTTTTAAACGGATAAGGCACTCATTCAATGAATATACCCAATATAATGTACAAAGTCAAGTGGTGGCTTCTTAAACACTCTATCTCAACCTCAATATTTTTGTTTTGTTTTAGTTTGGTTTTGACTTGGTCTTTTCTTCTAGTACCATCTTTTGAATTTTTCACATTTCCCTGGTGATGTTTCAAAGTTCTTATCTTCCAATGTCCTAAATTCTTAACATTGTACTTACACACACACACAAACACAGACACACACACACACACACGTGTGTGTGTTTGTGTGTGTTTGTGTGTGTTTGTGTGTGTGTGTGTGTGTGTGTAGGTATGTTTTTATTCTGTTTAAACAATTGAGGATTGCTACTATATAATATATGATTATAGATAGGAGACTTCTTTAATTTCTTGGTATAAGAATAGAGAGACCCAGGTTCTGGTTCTCCTTGAGGCACATAAGCTGGCTATCTGATCTTCAACAAGTCACATTTTCCTAAGCTCAAATCATCAGGATATAACAAAAAGCAGATCCTGCAATCAAGCAGATAGAAAAAAGGTGGAAGAAAAGAAGGAGATAGCTGTGATATCATAAATAACAAAGTTCTTTAACTAAAGAAGTGGAATTGAAACAAAAAATAACAGCTTCTAGAACAGCACAAAAACATCAGAAAAATGCTGTCTGTATTAAAGCTTGTTCCAAAGAAATAGCCAGACAAGCATTAAAGGATGCCAATACTATGATATCAAACATGAGCACCAGCTCACTGCAAGAAACAAACCAATGTATATACAGCTGCAGTTATAACTTAATATCTGGGGTGCAAAATCAATAAATAAGAAGAAAACCAAATGGCACAGCACCAAAATAGAAGATCACACTGGAAAATAAAATTGGTAAGCTGTAAGATCAGATGTAAGGAAGCTAGAAGAGATGAAAGAAAAACAGCTGAAGAACAAGTAGACCAAAGAGTACCTAGTCAAGAAATGCCACTTTCATCATCACTAGAAGATGAAAGAAGCACTTGAAATAATAAAGCAGCAATAACATCTATAGCTAAAAAGATCAGCAAATACAAGAGTTGAATTGCAAACTATAGGCAGAATCTCGAGTTTCGATCCAATCAGAAACATTTCTACCAATTCATCAATGAAGAAATGGAAGTAAATCAGTCAGTAACTACAAGGAAGAAACAGTACAACTCTCAGAAAAACAAAAGAACAACTTCTAATTCACAAGATGATTCTGGAAAACTGCAGAACAGAGACCAATTTCAATGAAGCATGGATTGATTACAGGAAAGCATTTGATTTCTTGCCACATGACTAGATAATCAAGTGCCTAGAAATATCAGGAGTCAGTAGAAACATCAGAAGGTTTGTGCAAAGATCGATGGAAGGCACAGGTGCTGATCAATGGTGCTAGAATGGGAGAGGAATAGAAATAGGAAGATTAAAAAAATAATGACAAATGAATCATACCCTTCACCTACACAGTGACATTGACAGAACTTCCAAGAAAATGGGTGACCATGGAATGTTGCAAGTACATCAGATGGTTGAAGAATACAAAAGGGTATTGCATTGGAAAAATATCTGAAGGATAGTGAAAAACATGTACTGAAGCTAGTGTACTAGGAAAGCATACAGAGTACAAGAAAGATCAAATGCAAATCTTTCATGAGAAGACAAAGCATAGCATTGTCAGTATATACTTCCTCACTGACCCGAGGTGGTACAGTGGTTAGAGTGCAGCACTGCCGGCTACTTCAGCTAACTGCTAGCTGCAGTTTGGCAGTTCAAATCTCACCAGTTCAAGGTTGACTCAGCCTTCCATCCTTCCAAGGTAGTTAAAATGAGGACCCAGATTGTTGGGGGAAATATGATGACTCTGGAAACCACTTAGAGAGGGCCGTAAAAAGTAATATGAAGTGGTATATAAGTCTAAGTGCTATTTAAAAAAAAAAAATAGCAGGGAAAGTAGATAATAACAGGACCTGGAAATGGCTAAGATCAGGAAAATTGAAGAAAGGGGCTAACTCTGGCTGCACAAGACCAAGCCTTAAGGACAAATGCATACAAAGCCAGAATGTGAAGATAATAACGGATAGCAAATTCCATCTCTGCAAAGAAGCTTAAGAAACAATAGACCACCTACTTAGCTGCTGTAAGAAGATTGTCCAAATTAACTACAAGCAACAGCATGATGAAGTATGCTGATAAAGCATGACAAAGTAACAACAATAGTACCCTGGAAGTTCTGCAAGAAATTTGCTTACAAGCAAGAACTGGTGGGACCATAAAATAGAGAAAGTCAAAGAAAATGAAGATGCTAAATTGCTCCTGTAGTTACAGGTGCCTATCACATAAATAAAATAGAATGATTGTAGCAAAAGCAACCAAAGGTAATACCAATAATATTGTAATAATGTAGTAATAGGCACCTTGGATACATATCCCAGGTCCTTGGAAAGGACTCAGTAGGTAGACAAAAATTCCAAATCCTGTCTACCTATTTGGCTGACTATGTCAAATCAACAACAATAACAGCAATAATAATATAAAATTAATTAATTAATTAATTAATTAATTAATTAATTAATGTTAAAAGCTGAATATAAGAAAGAAGTAATTGAGAAGCGAGCTGAAAATTGGAAAAGCAAAGCTATGCATGGCCAATACTTGAAAAGTATTGAAGGCAAAGCTGACCACAAACTAACTTGGAACTGGTTAATATCAGGAGCACTGAAAAAAGAAACAGAAGACTTTATTTTGGCAGCTCAAGAACACGCCTTAGCTACAAACTGCATGAAGGCAAAAATTCGACATGTTACCACCAACAGCAAATGTCGCCTCTGTAATGAGAAAGATAAGACAGTCAACCACTTGATCAGTGGATGCAGCAAAATTTCACAAATTGACTACCTACAACGCCATGACCGGGTTCCTAAGATCATTCACTGGAAATTGTGCCAAAAGTTTGGATTTGAGTACAGCAAAAACCACTGGGAGCATCAGGTTCAGAAGGTTTTAGAGAATGAGAAAGTCAAGATCTTGTGGGACTTCAGAATTCAGACTGACAGGCACTTGGCCCACAACACACCTGACATATCAATAGTTGAAGAGAAAAAAAAAAGTATGGTTCATTGACATTGCAATACCTGGAGATGCATAAATTGAAGATAAACAGCAAGAAAAAATCACAAAGTACCGGGACTTGGTTAGGACTCGAGCTGTTGAGCTACCAACCAGCCCCCAAAGGCAGTGAATCTCACCAAAGATGATGATGATGATGATTATGATGATGCTGCTGCTGCTGCTGATAATTATTATTATTATACAATTGTATCACAGCGGCCAGTTGTTTTGCCGGATTTGGCATTGATTACTAGTCGGGCCCCACCCAGGTGCCTAGGACGTTGTAACGTATTTTCGTAATATGCGTGCAGATCCAAGCAGTGCAGCTTTTTGCATTTCACTGATGGTGATTTTGTCAATTTTTAACTGTTTTAAATGTAATTCCAGTGCTTTTGGAATAGCACCCAGTGTGCCAATTACCACTGGAATTACCACTGCTGGTTTGTGCCATAGTCATTGAATTTCGATTTTTAAGTCCTGGTATTTTGCGATTTTTTCATGTTCCTTCTCAGCAACCCTGCTATCACCTGGTATTGCGATGTCTGTGATTGTGACCCCACAAGATCTTGACCATCTATTTTTTGGTGACTTTTTCAGGCTGATGTTCCCACCAGTTTGTTGCTGTTTTAATATTATAATTTTTGCACAAATTCCAATGGATCATTTGTGTTACTGAATTGTGCCACAATTTATAATCAGTCTGCGCGATTTTTTTACAGCAGCTGAGTATGTGATCAACAGTTTCATCAGCTTCTTTGCAAAGTCTGCATTTGGCATCATCAGAGGATTTTTCGATTTTGGCCTTAATGGCATTTGTGCGGATAGCTTGTTCTTGCGCAGCCAGGATTAGTGACTCTGTTTCTTTCTTTAATGTACCTGTTGTTAACCATAACCAAGTTTGTTCACTGTCCACTTTATCTTTTATTTTTTCCAGAAATTGACCATGCAGTGCTTTGTTCTGCCAACTCTCCATTCTTGATTTTATCACATGTTTTCTGTATTCTATTATTATTATTATTATTATTATTATTATTATTATTATTATTATTATTATTATTATTATTATTATTATTATTATTATTATTATTATTTCTATTCAATTGCTGTATATTTGTAATGGTTAAACACTTTTCCTTCCAGTAGTTCTGCACCTGCTAGCCCTGGTTACTCAGCCAAAGGTCCTGAGTACTGTAGCCCATTTTTCACCAGCTGTCCAGAAATTCCAACATCTAGCCCAGTCCCTCTTGACTTGGGAAATGACCAAACATGTAATGGGTTTTTGTAATTGACATCTCAGTATATTTTTATGGAATAAAAAAATGTTGGACTCCTTTGATGAGACCTTGCTAGTATAATTAAACCTCCAACTTAGCTCTCATCTTCTTTAGAGAACAGAAGCCCGACACCCATGTCAAGGTAATTCGCTATACCTCAATATTAAATTTATTGTTATTAATTACATTTATTATACATAAGACACTATATTTATCAACCATTAATAAATAGTACTATGAGATAGATCCATAAAATATTTATTTATAATAAATAAATAAATTTATTTAATATATTTATGTCAGAGCAAGATCTTTTGAAGAGTTAATTGTTCAGAGTTATTAATTTTCTCTGGAAAAAAGCCTCAAAAGGGTTTTGCAATAATCCATAGTTCCACAAATTATAACCCACCCGTCTTTCTTTAAAGGACCAATTTCTCTCTTTTCTTACAGGCAGACCTGTCAGAATATGTCTGTAAGCACAAAAATGATATATCTCATAACCTTGATCATTGCTGTGAAAAGGGCCTGGTGGAAAGATCACAATGCATTGTTACTAAGGAAAATGACCCACTATCTCCTGATCTGCCCACACCATCTGGAGAAACTTTTAAGGAGACAGCATGTCAATATTATGTTGAACATGGAAGTATAAACAAGGAAAGGTACGGTTTAGAGAATTCCACACTATTCCACACTAACTGGTGGAACTAGACTCTATGGAAAAACATACAGTCTTGTTCTCTGAATGAATAGAAAAAGCTATACTGTATCAGATATAATAAGGCAATGGCTACTGGAAGAAGAACATTGGCTATTTCCCTCTAAGCAGTGATAGGCTCCAACTAATTTAACAACTGGTTCGTCCTAAAGACCGGGTCAGCATGGCTGGAGGAGTCATGTGACTGAGTGGACATGGCCAACTTGGAGTCTCTTCCAGCAAGGTGGGGCAGCGCACTAAGGCCAAAGAGGCATAGACTGGAGCCTTAGACTTACCTTTGTGCAGTAACAGCAATGGTGATTCTCCAATGTCTCATCTCTTGCTGGGTCTTGCTGTCTGACAGCCAGGATGTTTTAAAAAAAGGTTTTGCAGCAGGAAATGGCAAATGGCTACTTCCAGCCACTGGATCCTGCTCCAAGACACTGGCTGTTAAATATTCACGCAGATGAGAGAGAATAAGTAGGCTAATCTAGAGATAAGAAACTGGAATTAAAAAACTGAGGAATATTTTTAATTCAAAACAAATATAAGAAGCAAAAGGGGGGGGGAGAAAAATTAATAGTTAAGAAGCTAAGTGATCCTGGCAAACTCAATCTGATATAAAGAAGAATTGATCTTGGAAAAGATATATATTTGGGCAATATTGTTTCCAGTTGGTGATAAAGCATGATGGGGAGCTGAAGGACATTCACATGCTTTCAGTTCATATCATAATTTCAAATGGCTGATTAGAAGGACTTCTTCGAAACTAGAATAGCAAAATGACATTTTTTTTTACACATTACTAAAACAATACATTTCAGAATATGGAATATATTGTCTCCTTTTTGTTCCTAAAAGTATTTTCTGATCCCATTTTTCACCTGTTTTAGCTTCCTCTTAGCATTAATAAGAACCCACCCTGAACTTTCTCAGCTGTTTGATCTGGAAATTTTGCATAGATATGGAGACACGTTGGAAAAATGCTGCAAACGAGAAGACAAAGTACAGTGTTTGAATGATGGGGTGAGTTCCTTTGTCTCTGTCCAGGGGAGTTCCTGTTGATTCCCTGCTCACCCTTGACCAACCCTACCCACCCCTATTGTAGCATTATTAATAATTATAAGAAACTGGAAGACAAATTATTGTCAGAAAAATAATTTGGGGTTGCAATTTAAGCCTGGGTTGTGCAAGAATAAATAAAACTGAGATCAAACAGTGGTGAGGTAAGGAGAAATATTTATTCCTAAAAACAAAATGTTTGCCTTTAGGGGCAGAATAGAGAAATGAGATAAATAACATAGATAAATAGGGGGACACTTGTCTTGGGTGTGGAAGGGTCTATGTGCTGATTCTATGGTGATGTTTGAGGAACACATGTGTGTGTGGGGGGGGTGCTATGTTTACAGTGTTTATTCTTATTTGTTTGCAGACCTTATCCTTTGATATGTGGATTAGGTCTGGTTAACGTATTTGGAGGTTTGGGGAAACTTGGGTAAAATATTTTCCCCCTTTTGCTAGTTTTACTTGATTAATTACTTTCAGCTTGACTATCAATTATCTAGTGGAGACACTGATTCTCAGACCATTGTGGATTTTGTCAATGTTTTAAGAGAAGACGGAAATAGTATAAAGAACAAAATATATTTTGATATAAAACTTCTCACGTTAAGGATTCAAGACAAGTTCTTTATTAAAAGTCATGCTAGAAAGGAACATTTTAGCCCTAGGCCATGTGCGAGGCTGTTTATTGGTTTGTTCCCAGTTTTGTTTTGCAATGTTTTATATTGCTTGAAAAGATGGAAGATTTATTACACCAAAAGTCAGTTTTTTAGATTATTACAATGTATACTGACTGAGTGGACCAGCCCTCGAAAAATATTTGGAAATCATAACTGTTGTAAAATATAATAGCCAAGATAGTTTTAAGGTATTTGTTTTTCTGACTATATTACACAGGCTTTATATATAATGCCTGCATTGGTTGCATTTTCAGGCCAAATTTTGGTTTTTAGTTATTATAAGTCCCTACATATCACTTCATCCTATTTAAAATTATCTGGTTATATCTTCATGTCAGTTTTAGAGATCCTAAAATATATCTACGAAATAGTAGGTTCAGATGGTATAAATGTGGTATAGTATTTTCTATGGTAGCACTCTATAGAAAGGAAGTATAGTTAGTGATATTATGTACTTAATATAAATGACTTTATATTTGTTCAGAATGGAATTAGGCATAAAGGCATTGGTATGATATTTTTAAAAAGGGAAACATTGATCACAGACTTACTCTAAAATTATGATGATCATTGCAGGTTTCTAAAGATTTCTGAATTTTGAATACAGGTGGCAAGAAAACAAATATGGAAAGAAAATATGTGGGGAAAAACACCTAGATCTGAAAGGGATATATGGTACTGGCCAGATTAGAAGATATATTTTGTTTGCCCCTTTCTTTATAGTCATAATGTTTGCATACTTAATGATTACAGCAAAAACAAATTATGATCTTTATCATCCTTTACCATTCATATTTTCCTTTAACATGGGGGAAAACCAAAGTTGCCAAGTCCATCTTCAACTGTCTTTAATATCTCTTGACCAGAATAAGAATTATTTGTAAATTTCTCCAATTTTCTCCCAGCATTATTTATATTGATTCTTCCGAGGTGTGCCTATTGTTATTGCAAATATTTTAAAATTTTTATTCTCTTTCAGGAAGAACAAAACAGATTATACGTTAAGAAGATTAGTGATATTGTGAAGAATAATTGTAACAATTATAAAGAAATAGGAGAATACTTCTTCCAAAATGAGTAAGTTTTCCTTGAATGATAAATTTGCAATAACAATAGGCACATCTAGGAAGAATCAATATAAATAATGCTGGGAGAAAATTGGAGAAATTTACAAATAATTCTTATTCTGGTCAAGAGATATTAAAGACAGTTGAAGATGGACTTGGCAACTTTGGTTTTCCCCCATGTTAAAGGAAAATATGAAT